AAAAAAAAGAGAGAAGAAAAGAAAAAAGAAAAAAAGAGGTATAAAGCAATGTCTTCCCCGTATTTGCGACTAAGCACATACTATTAGGAGATGTTGATTATCGTCATACAGATGGAAATTATTTATTTTGTAATAATTCAATTGCTGATGTTCATCATTCGGTTTAGACACACGGTCACAGAATGCCTCTGTATAGACTCAAAGTATCCAATGAAGTGGTTTCGTTAATAGAATATTCTACGGCACGTATCTTCGATAAATTAATATGCGTCGATTGCAAAGTGCGTTTCGTTTCTTCCTATGTTCGTGTATGAATTATCGTAAAGAAATCACGACTGTACGTGTTGGAACAAGGTATAAAAAAAGAAAGAAAACAAGGGCTTACGCTTTGTAAATGTGAGAAATATTCTGGAGAATGTGTAATGGTGTGATATAGACGATTAGAACCAATTGAAGATGTGAAAATTCTATGTAACATGCTTTCCGAGCATTCAGAACGAGTATGTGTATATGTACAAAGGATATATATATATATGCATTGGTAATATAACCAGGAACGGTGTTACATGAAATATTTTCTATATATATTATTCAACAAATCGAACTTCGATTTCCACGCGCGATATCGTTTCTCTTCTTTTCTCTGTTCAATAAAACATCCTGTCCACGCTAGACGGAAGTGTGCGTCAAGATGTTTATTTCCTGGATATATTACTGATTTTCTATCTTTCGTAAATATGTAGTAATTTCGTTTCTTCGTACGAAATGTTCGATCAGTTATAATGCTACTGTGAAGTGTACGTGTACCAGTATCGGGGATCTACTTCAGTAATGTGAAATAGCTACACTGCAATGTTACCTGGCAAAGTTTTGTATTATTATAAAGACAATAATTTCATTCACAGCGTCGAGTGTGCATTTGAACAAAATGTGCGAGTATATTGGTTACATTTGACAAGAGAGAGAGAGAAATAGAGAGACAGAGCGAGAGAGATAGAGAGAGAGAGAGAGAGAGAGAGAGAGAGAGTACATTTACGCTAACGAAATAAGAGTATCGAAAAACGAAGAGAGTATACCATACTCCTTGGCAGACCAAGTATTAGAGAGCATACAGTGTAGAAGAGAAAGGCAGGAACACAGACACATCTCATATGCAGATTCTACATATCCGTGTCTAGTTACGACCACAAAATTTTAAAGACATCCCTCAATAGAATTTCGTTGGATATAGTGCATAGCTGAGAATATTTCATTTTTATTGGATCTTGACATATAATATATAAATATATATATAAATATATATTACGTATGAATTGAAGGAATCACGTCAAGATCAAAATTGACGATTTCAAGGATAACATTCAGATGGAATTGAGAAATTGATCGTTCCCGTGTTCTTGGACAATTCATACGAAAACGATATTGTAGATTTCTGTAGGAATAGGACAATTAGTACAGCGATAACATGTACCTGTCCATATTGACCAGATCAATGTCCTTGCCTCTACTCACAAACGGAGCGTGTCAAATTGTTTAAGAGTCTTACAGGATACTTCCAACGTTAGTGTTTATGACGGTTCGTTGTTTTCAATTCGATCGACAACTTTACGCACTTTGGTTAACCAGTTAAGTGTGGAATTTAGTTTGGAAAATCTCTCATTGCGCGATCAAATCAAATAATGAAGTGTATACTCGTTAAATGCAAGCCAAATGCACTTGAAATATATCCTAACGAAAAAGAATTACATGTTTCTCTCAAAAAATGAATAATCCATCGTTGAAAATGTTAGCACAAGAGTTTTAAGATGACGTGTATAATCGTCAAACACAGTTAACTGGTTAAGAAAGGAAAGCCGTAATAGAATTTAATGAAATAAACGTAGTAACGAATATGCTCCTGTGTCCAGTAACTTCAGGAAGAATATCCTGTAAAACTTTGTTTCGTATTCTATAGAATTCCATTCGAACAATTGTAATTTTCAGTTAACCCTGGGGCGACAATATTGAGTGTCTCATTCGTTCTGGAACAGTTACAAGAAACAAAGTCTCGTATTTGTTATATTTATTAAATTTCGATGTATATTTGAAAAATAACGTCGCTGCCAGGGTTCAAAGGAAAAAGGGAATTTCCACAGGTGCTGTTCGATTACTGTCCAATCTGAGACGCGTAGATTCAACGATTTTGATCAGCTATGTATTACGTTGTTTTCCGTGGAAGTCAAGGAACAAAAGAATATTTTAAACAGAGGCAAGTTCGTATTATAAGAATGATGAAGGTGGCTTAAACGGAACGAAACAAAAAGAGAAAATAGACGAAGAAAGAAAAGAGAGAGAAAGAGAGATATATATATACGAATACAAATATTATATAAATATATATATTTAATAAAATTCTTTAAAGAGGAAATGTAAGTTCAAAGAGAATATAAATTAGCGCGAATTACGACGACGAGTAACGGATACTTCGTGTTAGTTTGGCGCCCACTTTAAGGAGGAACTACGAGGAAAAGAAAATTGTCAATATGTCAATAGCACGTTATTAACCAAAGCTTTAGCTGCGAAATAAATACGATAATTAATGAAATTATTCTTACAAAGTGGAATCGTAGGGAGGAGAGCGCGCGTTGTTATCGCATAAAGAAATTTTAGGTTTAAGGAGCCTCTTCGACGAGAGACGCCGACATAGGAAAATATTACCAGAATTTTCTAACCCCTTCTCTCCTTATCGCAAAATACCCCTAAATATTTGTTAATACATCGCAGCTACATTTTGTAACATCGATAGATCGATGTCCTATTTTCATTTTAATCCACGATTTCTGAAACATTGCGTCAAGGGTTTGGAAAACGCTGGTCTTTACCCTTTTGATGGGAGAAATATCACATATACGTAAAAGAGATCAGGAATAAAAAAGCATTGATTAGTTTCCTTCTGAACGGATCAGTTGAATTATTCCTTAAACGGACCATTGTTGTTCTCCGTATCGAAAGGGTTCAATGAGAAACTGTCTGTTCTGCATTATGCGAGCCACTGATCTTTTAGGGATGCTTGATACAGATTGTACAACGTGTCTCAGAGATCGCAGAAACTCTGTAAATGGGAATCTTAATTTATTCTTTATATTTATATTTGTAACCGGGACTAAAGACAGGTTGGATAATCCTTCCGGATAAGGGGGCAGACTCTGATTCAACAGGATAATACGGTCGAGCGTGTTATTGTCACTACGGTTGTATATAATGTGTATAATGAATGGATCGTTTTTCAGTTCACCGAGCTTCTCAACCCCCTCCGCCCCACCAACACCACCCATCCTCCATCTTTTAGTCAATTCTATTTTCCTTTTTATATAATATATATAATATATATATATATATATACAGTATTGCGTAGGTAATTTATGAACATTTATGTATCATTTACTTGTAACCTGTAAGCACAACTAGCCAAACCTCTGTAAATAGACACTCTCGTAATAAAACCTACCTGAAGTAATCTTTGAAACCAATCGTGGATATCCTTCTCACGTTCCATCATCGAAATCGTAATCTTTATTAGCCTTTGTATCGATTATTGGTACAATTTCTATATATCGTAACACTGTGGTCACACACTGTGTGCGAGGTATGTAGTCTAAAAAAACGAAACATAAATTGGATGACTGAATTGTACAGTTTTAATTGGAAACATAAATTGACAAAACAAACGAATACTGATAATAATTCGATTGATTTATTGCGAGCTACCAATCGACGTCTTCTCGCGTAGCCGCGAGCGAATCGCTCCCGTTTCTATCGTGAGCCCAACCACGAGGCGTGCAATTAAAACGTAGTTAGAAACGATAGCGAACCCCGTTAGGTCTCACGAATAAATAGAGAATAAACATCCGCTTGCGTGTTCGGTTAAACGAGTCTGTTTATTGTTCGGGGATAATGTGTAATTGTTCAAATCCTAACGAGTTACTTGAAGAAAGAAATGTTCGTCGACGCATACAATATTCGGTCAACGTTGTATATTGTTTTACAATAGTTCGACCAACGATGTTCGAGTTAACAGAATCTTCATTGTAAAAATTTCACAACAATACAGGGTGATTAGAACTCTCGGCGTCAACTGTTCCCCCTCAGTGATCCCAGAATTCCAATGAGACAACGATTCAACGATACTTTAAATTTCTCTTCGAGATCAACATTAAAAAGCTTTCACAATTACCCTGTATTATTCGGAGAAAATTCCTGTACGACAAAGATTAAATACGATATACGTTAGATGAAATTATCACTTACAAAATCATTTTTCTCTATTTACCACTAGCTCTCACGTGATATGACAAAATCATACGGCAGTACTTGTTTCGATCTTGTACAACGTACGCGCGGCTGAACACCGGAACTTCATGTTTGCGTGGAAAACAGCTGATATAAGGCACAAATAGCGTAAAGGGAAACGCAGCGTGTACATAACAATCAACGAGGAACAATATCCGAGGAACGTGAATAATGAAACGAAACATTCATTGCGTACAAACGTAGAAACAGATTTATCGATAAAAAAAACTATTACCTGCTCTCGTCGCAATTCATTACGCACATATTACGCTTTCCAATACAGTATCTGAGTTTCATCTAGATCAATCCTACTCGTTATGCGTCCTGCTTCGAACAAAATCTCATCCCCATTATCTTGAATCCGCTCTTCCTTCTATTATAATAAAATATAATCTCAAACGTTGTACTTTACAGATCACTCGAAAACAAACTCGATCGGCTGCGATTCGTTCTATCAGGGAGTATTATTGATCCGGACATGAATCTCTTAACCCTTTCAAGACACGTTTAAACAAATGAATAAAATACACCACGTTCGTGTATCACCTGACACGGCACCCAATCATACTGCATTAACCTAAGACTGAAAAATCTGGAAAACAAAGTCCAACCGTCTATCGAATTCCAATGTACTCACGAGCTTTCAATGTTAAAAGGGTTAAGGATACAATGCCAAACGTGAAATTCCGTTTCAGGCTTTCCGGTGAAATTTGTACACTTTCATTGGTATAAATTATGTTTCAACGTGACCCTGCAACTGACCCACGATCTTCCTCACCCAGCCCGCCTGACTTTGTCCAGCGGACACATCGTCCCTCTCCTCGCTGCCATTCTCCGCGCAACTGTGCAAACCGTTTTTACGGTACGCGGCACTGTCATGCACAGGGCTCTTCGCCGACACATTGCAGTCAGGGTCCTGTTGTCCCTTCAGAAACACAGATTTCACCTTCAAATAGTCCGGTTTCTGGGCAACGTTGGGCTTGCACTTCGCGTTCGCCGCGAGTGCAGTGTTCGCCGCAGGTTCTGCCCTCTTCTTCGCTGGCACCGGCGGCGCCACTTTACTTTTGAAAGACACCTCCTCGGCTGCGTGACCCGAGAACGGTCTAACCACTAGAACCTCCTCTATATCGCTAAATATTGCACTGTCCCTAAACGCGTCGTCAACGTCCGCGTCCACGTAATTCTCGATAGTCTCGAACGACCTCTCGTAGAAGCTGTCCGTCTCACTCTCCCTGTTCTCGACACTCTCGTCGTCCTCCTTCGCCTCTTGCTTGGCCTGCGCCGAGCTGTTCGCCGGCTGACCGAGTCGTTTACCTTCGGAGAACAATATGGAGGGGTCGGCGTAGTCAGACTGGGCGATACGGGCACCCAAGCTTGAGCTGCCCTGCTTGTAATAGAGGGACGGCACCCTGGAGTCCGACGCCCCTCTGGCGGCGCAGCCGATCAGCTCTTCGACGTCCGACGACGCTTCCCTCGAGTGCTTCAGTTTGCCTCTCTTCTTCAACTTACCTGTACTCAGGGAGCGAAAGTACTTGGTCCGTTCGAGCTCCTCGCTGCACTCTAGGGTCTCCGTGCTCATGGTGTTCCTTAATCCCTGGAGACGACTGCCAGCCTTGGACAAGACGTTCTTGAATATGGTGGAGCTGCCGCTGGTGTTTGCCCTGTAAATCTTGTGATCGGGATGTATGTTGGTGGTCGTGGAGGAGGACATGTGAATCTCGGAGTAGGCGTCCGTCAGGGTGTCGTCTAGGGAACAGAAGAACGTCGACGTTGAGGTCGAGACCGACGTCGGGAACTTGGCGATCCTACCCTGAGGCTGGCACGTCGACGCGTACCTCTCCATGTCCTCTAAGTTGATCTCAGCCGGCTTATCCGAGGCTATCGTGAACGGTCTCTCGCTCATCGGTTTCCCGTCCCTCTGCAAGAATCGCGACTTGGTCACGTTCTGATTCGAGTTCGGATTAATCTGAAAACTGCGCGGCAATGAACCGCACTTTTGGGGTGACGTGGGCAGTCCCTCGCAGCGTTTCGTCAGCCACACCGCTGGCCGCGTCGGACTGTCGTTACCGTCTAGATCCTTCTCCTCCTGCAGACCCTCCCAGACGTGCTGCAGATTGTCGTAGTTCCCGAAACCCTTATTCTCCTCCTGAGCGTCCTTGTGGACACACTCTCCGTTCACGGTCGTCGGTTTCTCGTTCTCCACGATCTGGGTCTCCGTCTCCCTCGAAACCGACGTTTGAACCGGTTCCTCGCCCCTGGACGTCGAGTTCTCTCTTATCCTGAGAGCAGTCTTGATCACTTTGCTCTCCGTGACGATGCTCTGCCTCTTGAACGCCTCGAACAACGCCTTCTTCTCTTGTACTCGGTTGATCTTGTTCTTCAACCCGGTGTCGTTCAGCTTGTTGTTCTCGGCTTTGCTCAGATTGTCGTAAAACAACTGCAGTTGCGAGGGCTGATGATCCCGGGACGAAGACAACGAGTTCCATGTGTTGTTCGTTCGAACTAGCCTGTCCCTCTGCGTGATGCGCAGACGCGTGATCCTGTTGTTTGAATTTTCCGTGATGTAATTAGCATTCTCCGAGTCGCTGTCGTCGGACGTGTCCGCGGACATGTGCTTGTTGAAACGTTGCTGCTGCCTGACGTTCAAGATACTGTTCGTCCGTTGCTTCTCGAGCAGCTTTTGGAACTCCTGGTTCTGCATTAGGATGTGGCCCACTATTTCCTCCACTGTTTGCGCCTGGGATTGCTGCTCTGTGTTCTCTTTGGTCTCCGGGGGCGGAGTGTTCAGCGGACGCTGGTCGGTCTCAGTGATCGCGCACTTGGGTTCGATCGCGGGTGAACCTGCGTCGCAGACGTCCTCCTTTTGCTCCTCGTCCGACTGATTAAGGCTCACGTAGGACTGGAAACCTGGCTCCGACTTCCTCCTCCAGCCAGTGAAGCGATCCTAAATTGAAAATTACATTAGAAATGCACTCGGCTGATTTACCTAGGAGATATCCTAATATTCACGATTCTAATCCGCTTTGTACCTTGACTTTCGACCCGCGCCCATCTGAAGCTCTAAGACCTTGATCCCTGGAATCGTTCATACTCGAATCCTCGCTTTGATTTTTCCGTGTCGATGCTGGAGAATCCTGAGAACCATACGGAGTCGTTTGAGACGATCCAAGGGAAGAGATTTAGGAGGTTCTTACCTCAGTTGTAGTCTCAGACTTTCTGCCACTTTTCTTGAACTTCTGCCTAAGTCCGGTTTCCGACCGCCGTCTCTCCCGCTCCTGTTTACGCTTCTCTAAGTACTCCGGCGGCGCAGAATATTGCTTCTTCGCTGATCCTTTGTCTGCCAAACAATCGTCTGCAAAAGTATAGTCTCCGAACAGCTAATCTAAATTAAACAACGGATCTCCAATGGACAATGAATGAATTACCCTCCGGTTGCGTCTGGCCAAGTTGCAGGACTAACTGTCTCGCGTGGGACGGTATCACTGCATTGTAATTCTCGAGGATCACCCTCTTTATCTGTAACGTCCATTCCCTCTTCTGTTCTAAGTTCCTTGCCTAATCAAGGCGAACGCAAACAATCGTTATCGCTCATCAAATAACAAACATTACGCGCAGATGTAGCAATAGACTGCGTTGAGAAAAGTTACCTGTAAAGTATACTGCAGTCGAGGATTGTCAAAGGGGATCACATGGAAGCTAAGCGGTTCACCTGGTATGCTCTCGATGAGCATCAAGTTAGAACACTGCGGACACAAGCAACGGATTTTTACTTGTACAACGGGTTCATTTATAATGCTCGGGGTTAATTAAGATTAAGAAGGGAGCAGAGGTTGTACCATAATGTGAGCCTTGTAGACTAGAAGCCCATCTTCTTTCTTCTTGGTGAGAAGAAGCATACGGTCAAACAAAAAAGCATGCCTAGGGGCTTTCGCCCCTCGCATTCTGAATCGGCCTTCCGCCACTAACTCTCCGCTGGTGGTTAAATCTGGACCAGGCCAACCGTACAGGAGGGACTGTATCTCCTGAACACGCACAGCGTGCTCGTGGCGTCGTTTCATAGCGTTAATGTGCTTCGCGATGCCAGTCATCGCGTCTAGCGCAGCCTCGATCGCCTTCCTCCCTTCAGTCTCGTCTTCTCTTAATTCACAGTCCGCCCCGTACTCCTTTGACAAGTTCTACAAACATTCATACATTACGTTAGACTTAATATTCAAGGTCTGGAACGTGCGCTCGTGCAATGCAGATGTACGGCTTGCCTCTAAAAGTAAATGGTATTTCAGAATCCTCTGAACAGGCTTTAGAAGGAACGATCCAAGGGGCAACGCGTGTCCCAGAGCTGCTTGCCTTTCTCGAAATGCGTTCGCAGTTTCCTCTTGACTCATCAAGTCGGTCAACACGGATACCGTCCTGAAATGAGCTGTATTAATATCTGGTTTCAATGTTCCATCGCGAGAGATTCTTGAAATTAATTGTAACAATTCTATTCTATCCCCTGACTTCTACGAAGAAGGTGAAAGCTACTGAATTATACATGCAGCAATTTACCTTGGATAATTAGTGCAATATTCTGTGTACACCTTGAATCCTGAGTTGTGCTTTATAAATGTGTTTGCCATGCAAACAGGGTCCAAACCACATTTCTCTATTTCTTTAAGGAACTCTCTGAAATCAAATTGCGCGATCGTTAGTATTCCATTGAACCTCGGGAGTCACGCGAGGAATTGAAATTTAGGATTCGAACGACAAACACTACCTGTTGAATTCAAAAATATCCTCAATATTACTAAATAAGTCGCTTAGTTGCATTTGATGGGCAAACGATGCCGGATCGTTTCTCCAAAATATAAGGTAACCCTGGAA